GCAGTTGAACAAGCAGTTGTTCCTAAATGGAACAAACACAGTGGGCAACTCTGGACGAGGGAAAACTCCACGTTCTCTGAGCTGCAACATGGGCTCTCTCCCGGATATCCAGCCAGATTGGGAACTTCATTAGGGTTCATTAGGGCCTTTCTCTCGGTCTGATCCTGCAGATTTTTAATTTTGTCAGCATCTATATAGTCATACAAGCCAATTTCTTAAAACCAATCCTTTTCTTGTATACATGTGTGTTGGAGCTAACACTACCATGTTGATTTTTGTGTCACTGGAGAACCCTAATACAACACATAAACCTAAACATCCTAAGTTCCCAACTGCTGAGGGGTTCCTACACTATCAAGCAGCCTCTTGAAGAAGGAAGAGTACTATTGCATTGTTGAGTTTTCCAAAAATTTCCTGTCATTAAAAGCACATGTTGTTTATGTCAGAGCAGAAAAGCTCCACAGAAGCCTCCTAGCCTCTCCTGTGGACAGCCTTCACTCCACATAGGGCTTAGCTGGGTGAGGAACATCATATGAGGATTAATGGAGAAAGTGCGGGTTGAGAGGTTAGCACTTCCTCTGACACCAAACTAAGATGCATGTATTGTGTGCACAGAATCATGGCTGGCTTTCAAAGTATGCAAATTCCCTTTACCTTAAAAATATACCAGCCAGAGGCCCAGCATGGTAGCCTAGTGGCTGGAGTCCACACCTTGCACACATTGGGATCTCAAATGGCCACTGGTCCTAATCCCGGCAGCCCCACTTCCCATCCAGCTCCCTGCTTGTGGCCTGGGAAAAGCAGTCAAGGACAGCTCAAAGCCTTGGGACTCTGCACATGTGTGAGGAATCCAAAGGAGGCTCTAAGCTCCTGGCTTCAGATCAGATCAGCTCAGCTCCGCTCCAGCCATTACAGCCACTTGGGGAGTGTGTCAAACGACAGAGGATCTTCCTCTCTCTCCCTCCTCCTCTCTGTATATCTGACTTTGCAATAAAAACAATAAAATAAATCTCAAAAAGTATATACCAGCCAGCTTTACGTCTCCCTAACACAGTAGTTCAGAGCAGAAAAGAAGATGGACCCATTATCATGAGGCTCTGAAACATTGAGTGTCACTGAAAAGCAGTTTACTATAAGACAACATTGAACTTTACAAAAGGAATACATGGAGGCAATCATTGGTTTAAAGAACCAGCTGCTTTCACATAGACTGCTTTTCACACAGACTCAATAACATAGTTATTGAGATAATGCTGGCTAACACAGAGCCTGAACAAGCATATCTCTGGGGAGCCTATGACCTGCTTCCCATAATACCTGTAGTTAAAGTCTGTCTCAATCCACAATAAATACTTGCAGGCAGGGCAACCAAGAGTCTTCTCTCACCTTTACGTTTCTCTGTTCATCTTCCTGGAATACACTTCAGCAGCTTAATGCCTTTCTGTTTCTAGAAAAGAAACTTGATGCCTTTGGAGCTAACACTTGTCTCTGCAGAATGGAGAACAAAGGAAAATCCTCAACACGTTTTTCATCTGAAATATGCTAAGATAGTTGGATTTGCTCACATTGAGGCTCTTGGTCTTAGAAGACCTGGGTTTACCTCCTGACAACTGTGCGATTCTGAAGAAGTTACTGACTCTTCACCAGAACCCCCTTCTTTCCCTTATTGACAACGTGAGCATCACACACTTCCCTCACCTCATTTTGCAGTAAATTAAGATAAAACAAAATGTAGAACCATGGGGCAGCCAGAGGCAACCTGTCACCTACAGCTTCAGTTTCCCCATTCAGCTTTGCTTCTGGCCTGCACAACACAACTTTTTCCAGCATGCTGTGCACCAAAGTAATCCACTGGAAATACAGCAATTAGCATTACAGATAAAATGACACTGCTGCAATGTTAATTACTATAGTGCAGATGTACTGTTAGATTTAGATATCATACATAATGTTGTCAAGCCTTTATTTTTAAATTAAAGTGCAACAAACCATACCCAGGCTACACAGCTTTTTATGATTAATACAAATTAATGTTATTTCAGTGTCTAGGGAAAGAGTGGGGAAAGGGGGTGTTGCATCTAATTGTAAGAACACACAGACAAATGGTAAAAGTTAAGACCCCCCCATTAACTTCCTGCCCCCATTTGGGTCTCCACAAAATGGATTGTGAGTTTCAATAAGTAAGAGATTGAGCCTGTTCTCTCACCATGATATTCCCAGCTCCCAGCGTGTAATCAGAGGCACTGAATAAATGAGGGAATGGCTGGAGACAGAACTGGGCACACAGAAGGGGTCTGGAAGTACAGCCGGGCTCGGGGAGGGCGGGAGGGCAGTGCAGCCCAAAGGAACAAGGGTTTATTCTTAATTCTTCTAGTTTATTCCTGATTCCTTTGTGTTTTCTTCATGGCTTTTGAAGTAATATTGGATGCTCCCCACAAGTATTGCCTTAAAATCTGAAAGGAAAAGCAAGTGAATCATATTAATGCAGAAGTCAGGTAAAGTTCTTCATTATAACACTTAGCAAGCACTTGATTCACCAAACTCTATCAAGCAGGAAAGTTGTAGGGAAGGAAGATAAATGAAGAAATCTTCCACACTGGCCAGATACCCTTGCAATATTCTAAAAGGAAGGGAAGGAAGAAAAAGAAAATATTTCACTCTTGTATGTAGGGCCAAACATATCATATCTTACTGTTCTCACCACTTTACCTCATGGAGTTTTTCTTCAGTTTCTGTTGTGGTGAAGCCATCCCTATCACCAGACTCCAGATCATTCCTTCCTGTTCCTAGCCAGTCACTCTTGTTTTGTCCATCTGATTCTGACTACTTTCAAAATCTCATGTGTGGGGATTCCATTTATATTTATATTAATCAATGATAAGGAGGGATTTCTGCCAGTTCACTATTTGTTTTCAAAATGTCTTCTAGACTTTTTTGTCAGTCATTTTCATGGGAATTTTTTTTACTTGGTATTATAGTTAAAGACCTCCAAGACTTCAGTAAGCTATTGACTCCAGACTGGAGAATCATCCGATTTCAAACTTGCTCTCTCTACCTGCTAATTGCCAATATTTTGTAAGCACAGGAGAAACACGGACAAGCATAGTATAATGTATTCTGCTTTGCTCCAATGGGCAGCAGGTGGTGTTTGTTGTTGTAATTGTTTTCTGGAACATTAGGCAGACACAGAATAAAGAATTTCTGGAAGTACAGGGAAATCCAAGATATTTTCCCAATGGTGTGAAGTATTCAAGATACAAGAACTCAGAGTCACTCTTCTGGTGCTGCCTCACTCCTCTGGTGCTGCCCCACTTCCCTGGTGCTGCCCCACTCTTCTGGTGCTGCCCCACTCTTCCGATGCTGCCCCACTCTTCCAGTGCTGCCCCACTCCTCTGGTGCTGCATCACTCCTCCGGAGCTGCCCCACTCCTCTGGTGCTGCCCCACTCTTCCAATGCTGCCCTACTCTTCCGATGCTGCCCCACTTCCCTGGTACTGCCCCACTCCTCTGGTGCTGCCCCACTCCTCTGGTGCTGCCCCACTCTTCCGATGCTGCCCCACTCTTCTGGTGCTGCCCCACTTCCCTGGTGCTGCCCCACTCTTCTGGTGCTGCCCCACTTCCCTGGTGCTGCCCCACTCTTCTGGTGCTGCCCACTCCTCTGGTGCTGCCCCACTTCCCTGGTGCTGCCCCACTCTTCTGGTGCTGCCCCACTCTTCCGGTGCTGCATCACTCCTCCGGAGCTGCCCCACTCCTCTGGTGCTGCCCCACTCCTTTGGAGCTGCCCCACTCTTGCTCTGGTGCTGCATCACTCCTCCATTACTGCTCAGGCATCACCATATTGAATCCCATGGCTCTGTGCTTAGTGTCCTTTGAAGAGAGTTCCAGAGCTCCAGCTCTGCTCTGGGATCTATCCCTTGCACACATCATAGCAGATGGATTTGACAATGCATAGAAAATTTTGCAACAGTGAGCACACTAGTTAATCCAAAATTTTCCTAACAAAATATCCCTGGGTTAGTAAAAAGATATAGCCATAAGGATGTTTATCACACTGTTTTTAGTACTAGTGTGATGATAAGGAGTAATAAATCTAAACATTCTATAACCTATTTTTATAATAAAATATTCAGTCATTGCTTTTTTTAAAAGATTTATTTTATTTTTTGTTTCCAAGGCAGATTTAAAAAAAAAAAAAAAAGGAGAGACAGAAACATCTTCCATCCTCTGGTTTACCCACCAAGTGGCTGCAATAGCCGGCCAGCTGATCTGAAGCCAGGAGCCAGGAGCTCCTTCTGGGTCTCCCATGTGAGAGCAGGGGCCCAATATTTTGGCCCATCTTTTGCTACTTTCCCAGGCCACAAGAACAGAGCTGAATGGGAAATGGAGCAGCTGGGACACAAACTGGCACTTATTAGGGAACTCAGTACTTGGAGGGGAAGATTAGCCAATCGAGCCATCACAGCAGGCCCCCATTTCTTTTTTGTTAATATTTTCCATGATACAGTTTTGTAGGTAGAGAGATTCCCCCTCTGCTTTTACTTTCTTCCCCCTCCAAACTATTTTCCCCCATATTATTACAAAAGGCTATCCTTCAGCAACAGTCACAAGTCCAACATTTCTGCTGTTTAAGTGCATCATGGAATTGTAAGTATAGGCAATGGTAGAAAATCTAGCATCAGATTGTCAAGGTATCTTCCTTTTATCCAGGAGTAGAGATGCATACTGCATCACATCTTCCCAGCATATGCAGTTATTTCAATATGATATTACATAATAAGACAAGGAAATAAGTGAGTGAAATAGCAAATGTGAAAACACACACACATATATATATGCATACACACAAATAGGTGTGAAAATCTGTTATACCATTACGTACTTCACATGTGCATTTAGCCTAATAGTTTCTCATAAAGAAAAAAGCAAAAAGCACTGGTCTGAACACCATGCCAGGTTAGGGGATGTAAAGGCTTGACTGAACTGTTGTCCATTGTCTTGCAGGTCAGCGGGACCATGTACAACACTGGAAGGCACGTGTCCCTTCGCCTGGACAAGGAGCACTTGGTCAACATTTCAGGAGGGCCCATGACATACAGCCACCGGCTGGAGGAGATCCGGTTACATTTTGGAAGTGAGGACAGCCAAGGATCAGAGCACCTCCTCAATGGACAGGCCTTCTCTGGAGAGGTATGTGGGTCTCTCAAGTACTAAAGCTAAAGGACAACATAGAAGACTTGGTGCCTGCTCATGGTATGATAACAACGAATCTAAGGATTGAGGAGGTCTGTGCCTTTATCCCTCTGTCTTTTGCAGATGAAACTTCTAATGCCAATACAGCATTTTCCAGGGAAGGCAACCGTACAACTAGCTATTTCCTTCTAAGATTGGGGCAGCTCTCTCAACACTCATTCCTTAAGATAGTTCAAGAGCTTTTTCTAGTTCCAACTCCTCATCTTCATGTGTATTTTCATTCCTTCCTTCCTTGGTCATCAGCTTCTCCTGGGCAATGTAGAGTAGTTCTCCCTTCTGGTAGACTGAGTCTTGTTCAAAACCATGACATAGTGGCAAATGAAGCTCAGACGACCAAATTATTTGCCTGAGTTTTTGCCAGATGGAAATGTCATTGTTTGTGTACCACCATGTATTGTGTCACTACAGGCCGCTAGCCTCCCAGACAGAACTCAGACTGCAACAGCAAGTCTGAATATTTAACTGCAGTTAAACATCTGTGAGGTGACACTTGACAAGCAGGGGATAATTTGGCTTCTTTTGCCTCCATTTCACTTGAGTATGGTTATCTACCAGAGATGAGGGTCCTTGCAGGCTAAAGACCCTATGACTAATTTTCCACTCAGGAGTCATTAACTGATGGCAGGAAGACTTTTACATTACAGAAGGATGTCTCAGATAGGGTGTTTTTTATGTCTTTAAAATCAAGGTCATTCTGAAGCCTAACATTGTTGTTAACGTGGTGAGGCGACACACTGAGACACCAACTCACAGCATTAATGAGTCCACTAGCCAAATTTTAATGTGTATTTAAAGTATAGTAACTACAAGCCTTTCTAGGCACGCCTTCTACTTACAGGGATTTAGAGGCATTTTTAACAAAAGTGCTTCCACTACACAAAAGCTCAAAAAGTTCAGTATTCAAATCATTAAGGTATCATGTCACACTGTAATGGGGAGATACAAGTGCACTGGGAAACCCAAAGAAGCGACAGGCTCTCCTTGAAGGAGTTAGGAGAAGATTCGCAGAGGAGGTGCCCTTGGAACTGTGCTCTGAAGAGAGGCAATGAAGAACAGCTTTAAGAGCATCAGCTTTGGAGTCAAAAAACCTGAGTTCACAGCTCCAGCTATGAGACATACCAACTATGCCATCTTGGGATATGGCTTCATCCTTGCAAGTCACAGTTAAAAAGGCCCTCACAGTTGTTTTAAAAAGTAAGTGGGATTCCCAAATGTAGGGAGCACTGGAAGTACCCAATGGCTGATAGATAAAAATATATATATATAAAAGATAAAGCAAGAAATAAGGGATAGTGTGAGCAGAGGCCCCAAGGCATGTCAAGGAACCAAGTGTTGGAGGAGCTGTGTGTAGATTTCTCAAGCAACTTGTCTGTGATCTATTAGTAATGGCTGCATAAGCAATGAGGTTGAGCAGGAGTGTGAGTCTCCCTCTTGCATCTGGAAGGAGGAAAAATGCTAAAACTGATTAGGGATACCTGCCACAGGCATTGTAATGGGAAGCTCCTAGGAATTACAGACTCCAAAGTAGAGTATAGTAGAGAACGTAATGAAGGCAGGACAGAAACTCAGAGTAACTAGAGACCATGTGAATTAAAGAATATCCAAATTAAACTTTTCCTTTTAATAATATAGATTAATTTAAGATATGTGATTATGTCAGCACATTTATTTGTTTCCTGTTAGTTTCAGTTTTCTTCCTCACTGAACTCTAACATTCTAGTCACTGATACAAACTGCCTCAGGGTAAAAATATTGTTAAATAAGTAAGTGAAAAAACAAAGATTACTGCTGAGCTAAAATCTCTGCATTATTTTTTAGTGTCACTTATTTCTCACATATATAATAACCTGTAAACAAACCTTATTTTTCGAGTACGTAAGTTTTTCTAAAATCTCTAAGAAAAATATACGCTAATTTGATTTTTTCATGATTTCCTAGACCCATCGCAGGCTACAGGTGTTAGGTGCTCCAACGAGTCTGCATTTCAAAAGTTCCCATGACAGCCTGGGAATGATGTTTATAGAGCTCTCTCTTGATAGTACATGATTAAGTGTCCTCAGTGAAAAAATTGTTTAAAAAAGATTTGTAAACCAGAATTAACTGGGAAGTACTGTCAAAATCTGAATTTTCAATCCTTACTAAAACTAATTGAATCAGGATCAGGGAGTGCCATCAAGTTACATGTTTTTGCAATACTAGGCCAAGTGGTCAGCAACCACTAAAAAGTTTCAGGTCAAGATTTTCCTAAGTTATCCCATTTTCCTAAACAATGATAGCTTTATTAACCAAACCATGCTGAGTTTGAAAAAAAAAAAATGGAAGTTGGGGCAGTGAGGCATGCAATCAGCCTAATGTTTAAGATGCTCCAGTGCCAAATCAGAGTGGCATTTGGGTTTAACTCTTGACTTTGATTCCTGACTTCAGTTTATCCTGCAGGCAACAGTGATAGCTCAAAGCTCTGGGTTCTTATCACCTCCCGAGAGACCTGAAGTGAGTTCCTAGCTCCTGATTTAGGCTGAGCCCAACCTAGCTGTTGCAGTCATTCCAAAAGTGAGCCAGTAGATTACAGAACTGGGTCTCTCTCTCTCTCTCTCTCTCTCTCTCTCTCTCTCTCTCTCTCTCGTGTGTGTGTGTGTGTGCGCGTGCGCGCGCGCATATTTGGAAAGAGTCATGCACACAGACACACTACTCCAAGGCAGATTTGATCATTAAATTCAGTATAAGTACCGTTGCCCTAGACTTCATTATTTGTACCACATTCCTTCCCACATGAGACAAATTGGTATGAGCATCAGAGAAAGAGCCTCAAATTTTGGAAGCTCTAACGTAATGTCATGGAGGAGGCAGTTGGACAGGGAGTTGGCATCAGGGATATTCAAAGGGCTCTAGTGAACAAGAAGAGTTCAGTATCTCCTATGAAGTGTGATGGAAGAGACCTAGCACCAATGGGTGGAAACTAGAGGAAGATGGAGTTCAGTCAGCTACAAGCTTAGCAATGACGTTCTCCATCTATAAAATGCCTTGCAGTGAATTCTCACATTTGGAATTATTAAGCACTGAACAGAATTTGGTAACATCACAAAAGTAATTCATATTTCTCCAGCTAGAGTCTACTGAGGGTTAGCCTCAGTAAAACTGACTGAGTCCTCCTATAGGCTTAACTTGCTGTTTTACTCCTGTGCTACTTCCAAAGCCACCTTTGGTCTCTACTTTTGATTATCCTTTGAAAGGACCCAAGTACACACTTCTTTCTAGCAACAAAGCATGTGTTTATTTTGTTGACAGTGAGTAATCATGTTGCCATCTGCCCCATCTATCATTGCTGATTGTGATAAGTCAATTAATGCCAGGCATTTTTGTTGGCACAGTGCAACAGTCGTTATCTGAAGAGCTGTAGATTAATTGCAGTCTTGTCTAGTGCAGTTATTGTAATTGATGATAATAATTTTCTTTGTTTTATAAAGCTGTGTGGATGTACAACACAATCAGCAACTGTGTTTTTATAAAAAAAAAATTATTCACGTCCTACATGGACAACTACTGGATGCCTTGTTGGGGGTAGTTGATAAATGAGCATATTCAGGGACTCAAGTGTCTTGGTTTTTTCAAGAATGGAAAATTAATTGTTTTTAATAAGTAAGACCCTTAGCTTGCTAATCATGTTTAAGTGCTTAGATTAATATCCAATATAAAGTAGGGTGTTCAAAAAAGAAACAACTACATTATCCTGGCAAAGGATAATATTTGGAGTCATGCTAGTGGATTCGTTGCATTAGTGGGGCCGCGTTAGAATCTTTCTGCTTTGGAAAAGAATGGACTGCTTTGACATCCTTTCTTAAACTCTTCTTTTTAAAGAGGTGCATGAAGAGTTGCACCTCATACTGCACAGGATACCAGTAGCCAGAGCCTCTTACTGATTTTATCCCCTTTTACACAGCTGCGCTTCTCTGAGCCAGGCACGAGCCAGACTCCAGCTTCTGGCCAAAGAAACATAAAGTCCATTGAAGGATGTTTGTATTGGTAATACAATATAATGTGGGTGATATTTGAGGTCTATTCCAGAAGGGAACTGTGAGATAGCCCTGAACATCATATTAAGGAGAGAAGGCTGAGCAGCTGTGCAGACTGACCTGCTTGCTTCTCCCTCTGAAGGTGAAGTAGAAACATGTTGACCTTTCTAGATCTCAGCCTCTGGGGTCCCCGATCCTGCTCAAAATGCATTTGAGGGAGGGGAAAGTCCATAGCTAGATAGCTGTTGCTATGGTAACATAGACTAGATTGTTTCATTAAAAGGTAGGAATTGAAGTCATAGACAACATGTGGGTATTTGTTTTCCGATTTTGGAGGGCGTTCTGAACCAAAGGAAGAAAAAACAATTATCCCAGAACCAAGAACTGAGACTGAGCCTCAGAAAATGCCAGCCTTGTCCTCTTCAAGAAACCAATTATTTGCATCCTTGAGACTGGTTTCACTAAAACAACACAAATTTGTAGGAATAAGCAATTAACACCCAGTTGTCCTGAAATGTGCTAGGGCATGAAAAGTGCTGAGAAGCATTAAGTAAGGCAGAACCAAAGGCCCATTGGCACCAAACTGTTGGGTCTGGGGGAAGGTATCAGGTGACCTAATTAGCACAGGGCAATTTGGCTAGCATCTCCTTGTAGAGATGTTACATTGGCATAATTGGAGATTGAGAGGGAATGAGAATTGAGCTGCTTAAGATTAACAGGTACGTGGGCTACACATACAGAAGTGCTACTTGTGTGCTGTGGTCAAGCTGCTTCCTCTGCAGTGAATGCCAGCTCCAGCCCCCCCCCACCCCACATCCACTTCAGTCCCCTTATTAGAGCTCCCCAGTCCTCCTATCCTCCTTTTAGTCAGTAAGGTGCCGTCTCCTCCTGATTGCCAGGAAATTCTGTAATGCACTCATCACAGGA